CCCCCCCCCCCCCGCCCCCCCCCCCCCCCCCCCCTCCTGGCATGGAAGAAGGGAGAGCTGAGCTCCAGAGCTGTTAGACGATAACCCTGTAGAGAGCTCTGTGGCAGCTGGAGGATTTCGGGGGGATGCTGCAGCCTGCAGACTGTCACCACCTGTCTTGTCCCAGGGCTGGAGGAGGAGGACCTTCCCCCCTGCCCCGGGAGCAGAAGGATCCTCAAGCCCCAGGTGCAGGCAGGGTCCAGCAGCATCTGCCTGGCAGGCAGAGCAGGCAGAGGGGTTGGCATCCTCTCAAGAGCCTCGAGCCCCCGTAGGGAGAAGGGAGCCTGTCTCCTCCTGGGAGCAACCTCCTGGGCGAGGGCTAGCTTGGAGTCATGCACCGTGGTAGAGCAGAGCCTCACCTTTGTTGTCCTGACCTCTCAGGCTGGGCAGCCTCCGGGGACCTGCAACAACCCCAGCATGCTTAGTGCAATCACCACAACCCTTACCCTGGCTCGAGGGCTGCAGCGTCTCCTCGAGCTCCCAGGCTTCTTGCCCTCCCTATTTCTGCAAAGAAAAGGACGTGGCCCCTTCGCTGTCCCACCCTTGACCCGCTCAGCCAGGTTTTAAAGCCCGGGCTGTACCTTTTCCAAAGGAGAGTTTCTTGAAGAGTTGTGGGGTGGTATCCTTGGGATGAATCTCCACCGTCACCTGGGTTCCTGCAAGAAACAATGACAAACTCCCTAAGAAAGGCAAAACTAACCAGGACGCAGAGAAAAAGGGCAGGATTGCCTGCCAAAGCATTGCTGAAGCCAATTCTTAACTTTGGCAAAAGAACTGGCAGCTCTGGCGATTGTGAAGGTACCAAAGCGCTTGGGTTTCCAGGCAAAACCAAGCACCCTTAAGATAAACTGTATGGTCAGGAAGCCTGCGGTCACCTCTGGTGTGATTTGTAATTCTCAAAAAATAACAGACAGTCCATTATAGCCTAACAGGTGATAAAGCAGCTCATAAATAAAGCAGAAGTCCTCAGCGAGGACTATGTGGCAGCTTAAAACAAATGGTTTATCACTGTATTAAATAGCTCTTGATGGAGATACAGTAAGCAGAGAATCAATTTCTTTCATTGATTTTTCTTGGAATCACACAGAAAAAGGCTCAGAGCTATGAGAATGGTTTGACTTGTGATATTAAAATTTTTGGCAAAGGCCATTGCCTGTAAGAGGCAGCATCCTGGCAGAGCTAGCTGCAGTCCAGGCATGCTGTGGGACTGATGCTGATGCTGTGGGACTGAACAACCTCAGATGGAAATCTGGGGGTCTTGTGTTTAAAGTTCCATAGAGAGAAGTACAAGGAAAAAAGTTAGGGAGTATCTTATAAGAATTACCTGAACTTTTTGGAAAAGACTGCATTTTTTTGGCAAGTATTTCAGAAGATTTTGCAACCACCGGGGTTCCCTGGAGGAACTAGGCATGCTCATGGGCTCCCCGTTTCGGATCAGACAGAGGTTACTTTGGAGTCTGAAGGTCAAGATATTAATGCACCTTGGGGCTGCCATCCAGTTGCACGTGCTACCTCCTACAATTTTATCGAGAGTCTTGTGACATTTGGGGTTTTCCTTGAAAGGCAGCTCTTAGAACCAGCTAATTAGGTAAGAATCTGCACTTTCATCAGAGAATAAGTTTTTCCACAGCATTCAACTTTAGAAAAAGTTAAGCATCTCCTGTGATTGTGCAGAAAGGGTCGATGTCCTTTAAGCCCCAAAAGCAGAAGGCAAGAAAAACTGTAAAACTGTAAAACCCCCCTTTTAAATCGTAGAGCTTGACTCCAATTCTGGGATGACTGCAGATATCCAGGTGTCAAGATTAGAGCCGGCTGGTGTATTTTGTCAGTTAATTCAAAGGTAAAATGAAGTTGTTTCTCAAAAGGATGACTTTGTGCAAACGGTATTATTTCCTCAAGATTTTTATGTTTTCAGGAGTCCCTTTTTTTATTTCTCAATAATTATTTTTAGCTTTGGGGTTTTGTGGGTTTTCTTGCCAACTTCTACTTTCTCAGTTTTCCCCCATAAATTAAAAATCTTCATTTTCAAGAAACAAATTTAATGGTGAGGAATGCCTTCTTCCAGTAAGTTTAAAAGGCATTTAACAAATGAAAAAAATGTAATTCCACAGAAATTTTTCAAAGAAGTGCTACATTCATTTCTTTAAAAACTAATGGTATGAAATGGTTACTGATGTTTTTATGACTTCTTTTACTATTCCTAATCAAGATTTCCTTCATAAAGAAACACTTGCTTTTCTCCTCCTTCCTGTGGCCAGACCAGTCCTTGGCCAGCGTGTGCTCTGGGGTGCAGCTTGCCCAGCACTGTCCCTGTTCTAGTGCAGGGATGGCTCCTTGCGAGGATCTACCCTATGAAAGGACTTCTGTAACCAGCTGTCTTAAGCTAAACTTCTGCCAATATTATTTCTTCCAGCCCTTGCACCCTTCCATCAGCACTGGAATAGCTGACATCGGCAGGAGTATGTTCTTACCATGCTTTCCAATTACGTCTATGCCATGTCCCAGTGGTCAGGGGATGGTGGAAACCCAGGTGCCCCAGGACCCACCTCCATGCATCCACACTGAAAGACCCAAGGATTCTCCAGGCTCCCCTGGGATTTTTAATTCTTCATGCTAAAGATCACAAAATTGTCGAGGTGGGGCTTTTTGCTCTTTTGGGGTGTTCTGAGGTTATTTTATTACAGAAAAAACTTGAGCGGGAACTCACTGAAGCTCTGCTCTGAAAAAAAACGGTATCCCTTGGGTCGCCACTTACCTTCATTAGAGTATGAAGTAACGGCTTGTGCCTGCTTGCAGGACTCCCTGGAGACTTGCCGACCTGGTTGCACAAAGAAAAAACATCTCAGTGCCTTGAGAAAGCAAAGGTGCCTGGCGCGGAGGTGGATTAAATCTGTGCCTTTGCTCAGCAGCGAAGTAAGTAACGACACAAGAAGCCTGAGCCAGTTCTCCAGCTTTGAAGCCCAATTGCTCATGGTCCAGGGGTGCCTGGCCCCGGTCCAGAGGGCTGCTCCAGCCTAGGGAAGGGCTGGAGTGGGTGCTGCTGCTCAGGGTGGGAGGTTAGGGTGCTTGGACCAGCAGGTGCATGTTTGGATAGGTGGATGGGAGGGAAGGGCAGCACGGCGGGGCTTGGAGGCCGTGCGGTCCCTGAGTGGGAGCATTGGTGTGATTGTCAGCACCTCATCCTCATCTTCATGTCTCTCCTCTGTGCTCTAGAAGCCCCTGACTGTCTCAGTGATGCTGGCTGGCCCTGGGGTAGAGGGAGGTGAGTGGAGAACCTGGTGTGCCTGGGGAATTGCAGGCAGCATAAATCCGCTCCCCTCGGGCTGTGCTGACAGTTAGCAGGGCGGTCAGCAAATGCCAGGCGACACTGAGCCCTAGTTCCCGCATGGCTTTGGATGCTCAAGCCTTGCTGGAGGCAGGGTGGATGTTGGCCAGGGCGATCCCTCGCTCTTTTTCAAAGCGTCATGGAATCACCGTCCTGCCAGCCACCAGAGACCAGCGCAAGGAACCTGTTTTTTCACGGCTCGTCCTGAAGACCAGCTACCAATCGTACCTCGTGGCTGTGACAAGGATCAGGCCCGTGAATGATGGGATTTTGTGGCGTGGCATGGGGCCGCAGCCTGTTTGTCTCAGTGGGGTTGGGGTGAGGCTTATGTAATACAGTTTGTAAATATTGTGGCAGCACCAGCTGCTCTGTGGCGTCAGAGGCTTCATCAAGATGCTAACATGGCTGATTAAAGGGGAATTTATTAACCCCTGTGGTGCCAGAGGAGTAAAAGCTCTGCCTGCTCCCTTGGCACCTGAATTCCTTAGTAATCCCCACAGGCATTTAAACCGCCTAAGGTAAAGCTGCAACAGAAGGTTTCCCATATTGCATACTAAATACTCCTGCCATTAGTTAGGCATGGTAAATGATTGACACTGTCCTATCACTTGTAATGGAGGCTCTGACTTGTGCTCTGCAGCTCTGGTTGCGGACCCTCTTGAGCATGATGGAGGAGTGAGAGAGAGAGTGTTAAGTATTTATCTGCTTCCCAGAGTGGAGTCTTTTGTTATCATCTGGTGTCTGAGACCACCAGATTTGTAAAAAAAAGCCCCAAAGTTGTATCTTGCCATGAAATATTGCTTGCTCACAGTCTGTGAGAGCCATCCAGCCACCACTGATTTCAAAGGGGCTTGGATCAGGGCTCCTATTGAGCACTGTCCTGGGCACAGCTGTGGCTTTTGTGTGCTGCTATTGCTTGGCCTGTGGACCTGTTTGGTACCATGAGAATTACCTGTTGTCTTGCTTTACCTTTGCCCCCCACCTTTCTCTGCTAGACATCACATTAGGCTTAGACTACAGGAAAGCAAGTCGGATGGTCTGATTCCCTTCTGCTGGAGCTGCTCTGTCCTGTTGCATTGCGGTCCAGCAGCCTGGCTGCGTGTGGCCAGGGGTGACCTCTTCAGATGTTCCTTCTGAACTGTTTCAGGGCATAGGGGTGAGGAATTGGCAGGGGAACATTCAAGACTAGCAGCCACATCGTTCCTGGATAGCAATCACACCTGCCTTGCACTCAGCAATCTCTGAGCGGGGGAGATGAAGAAAGGACTGGTCGATAGATGGATTGAAACCCCAAAGGTTTCTTGCACACCCCAGACCCTGCTTAAGCTGTGTGAGTGCTGGGGAAGTCTCTGGAAGGTCTATCTGCAACCTGAGCAATTTGGGGCACTGAATTTCCCCTGCCATCAGCTGGCTGTGAAACGTAGGAGCTCCATGCACCTGAAATATGACCGAGCTCCATGGCAGCTTGCAGGAGAATCCCCTGCAGATGGTTGTGCATGGGCTGTATAGTGCCACCAATGTGCATCCTGGCCACGGGGCAGAGGAGAGCATGGAGGGGATGCTTCCCATGGCACATGGCCCGAGGCCCTCCACATGTCTCCACTGAAGCCCCCCAAAGTGCTGGAAAGGGACGGGTTGTTTCGAGCATGTTTATGCTTGAGAGGCACAGCTGGGTGCTGAAAGCTTGCAAATGGGTTTTGTGTACTGTGGTTAGTTTATCCGTAGAGTGAGAAGATGACATACCGTTAAGGTCTCTCCCCTGAGGTGGCTGTGATTGGCTATTTCCATTTCCATCATCCTGCAAACCTATAAAATATAAACGTGAGATTGGCAGGCTGTCCTCCTGTAGTGAGGTTCTGGCACTGCCCGGAGGCCAAGCACCCCCAAACCTTTCATGTAACCCATCATTCCAGCTGAAACAAGTCGTCATCGGGATCCACCTTCCCTGTCTCATCTGCAGCATTTGTTGCAGCCACTGTTGCTAAAATATGAAATACCAGGAAGAAAGTGTAATAGTCCAGGTTTAAGTTGCTTCGATAGGGCTTGCTTGTATTTGGGTAGGTGCTGGATGCTGTGTTAGATGAAGCATGAATACAACTTCTGTGTCAGCTTTGCCTATCCTTGTTAGCCTGGAACTGATTGTCTGAAAATCTAGCTTTTCCCCAAGGCTTTAGAGCAGGAATACTCCCTTTTCTCCTTTTACTTCTGCAGGGAGGGTCCCCTTACAGTTGCAGAGCACAGCCTTAGCTTTTTGGAAGATCCCTTGAAGGATAGGAGCTGGGCCAGGGAGACTGTCCCAAACTGTAGCTATAAATGGCTCAGGGTAGTCATCCTTGGAGACAAAGCCTAGACATGCTTCAAGCAAAACAGTTTTGCCTCGTACTCTGTTGTAGTAGGTGCTGGTCTGGGGTGAAACTGCTGAGCTCTCGCCCTGCTCCCCTTGCACAGCCAAGAGAGCCTGTGGAGGCATCTCAGGGCCACCACAGGGCAGAGCAAACATGGTCCTCAGATTAGTACCCGTGTGTATGTCACCTCCTCCTGTACCCCGGGTTGCATGCACCAGAGCCAGACACCGAGCAACCTGCAGCATGCAACGTTGCACAAGCAAGGGCTGTCCTGCACCAGGAGGACCAGCAAAGGCATGCTGGGTTTCTACAAAAAAAGTTTGAAGTTTGGGGTTTTGCAGCATGTCTGCAAAGGAAAAGAGGAGAAGGGGGGGGAAGCCCAAACCCTGCTCCAAAGCTGCTGCTTCACTTCACCATCTCCCGGGCAGCCGGTGCAGCACCTGCAGCCCTCCCCTCCCTCGCAGCGACCGCAGGCGGGACGTTACCTGCGCTTCGGCTGCCTTCCGTCTGCCTCTCTCTCTGCCCTTTCTGCTTGCTCGCTGTCTCCTCAGGGTGGACAATAAGCAGCAAATTGATCGTGACTGCACTGGGATCTGTCTTAAAGTCCATGGTACCCATCAGAGCATGGCCAGGGCGTCAGTCCTCCTGCGAAGCTGCTGCTGCTGCGAGCTGCTGTGTTTGTTTTCCACCCTTGGAAAGGCAAGCGCGCTCCCCCCCAGGCTGCCGCACCAGCGGGCTGGCCCTGCCAACTGCACCATGAGTGCTCTGCCAAAGCCGACCCTAATGAAGAGGTTACAAGTCACCTTTGAAAGGAAATCACAGGAGGGATCCGTTTCCTAAAGCAGAGGAAGGAGCAGCGTTTCAGCTGGGGGGGGGTCTGGTTTCAGAGCGTGCCCCCGGCTCACCCTCCCCTCTCTCTGCCCTTTTCGGCTTTAAGCACTTATCTACATTCAAATCCCCCAGCAGCACTGTTCACTGGGGGGCGGGGGGGGTTCTCTTCCTGGCGCTGGCAGAAATCCTTAAAAGGCTTTCTCTTTTGATCCCCTCCCTCGGCAGAAACTTGAAGGATGCTTAGGAGTATAAATAATAGCTGCTGCAGGAGGAGGGGAGAGGAGGGCAGCAACTGCAGCAGGGAGAAAGGGGCTAGAAATGGGGCACGAGCAGCCATTTGCGGCAGGGAGGATCAATCTTTGCAGGGCTGCTTGGCGTGCAAAGTGACAGTAGCGAAGGGAATTGCAGGGTGCAAGCCAGACTGTCCCAAAGGAGCCAAAAAAAAAAATATAATCAACCTCCCTCTGCCCCCATCAGCCTGCAAGCCCGGCTCTTTGGGGTAGCTGGAGACTGCTAATCAAAAAGGAAAGTTGTGCAAATCCCCAGCTTTCTAGAAACTGTCCCAGCCTACAAAATGGGGGACAAGAAGGGTTACAGTGCAGGTTAGCAACTTGGCTCAGCTGGTCTCTGCAGCTCGGAGAAGGGGCTGGCAGGGAGACGTTTTCTAATTTTACCGCTGGCCCCTGTCCCGCTCACGCTGCCAGCCCCGGCTGGCTTGGCCGGTGGTCCCAGGGGAGCGATAGCACCTGTGGGCTGAAAGGCTCTCCAGCAGTGTTAGGAAGGGCTGTGGGGGTGCAGGAGGCACCAGCTGGTGGGGGCAGTGGGGGGGCCTTGGGAGCTTGGCACCGGCAAGGTGCCTTTTTGTGGGTGTCGCGAGTGCTTTTTGGGCAGGAGTGTGAGAGCACTGGGTTCCTCTGGCTGCGAGCTGGGGAAGTTGGTGTCCTGGATCTGCGAGCAGGAGCTGGTACTATTGCTCGGTGTTAAGTTACTCATGTTCGGAGGCATGGGTTTTCCCCGTGGATCTCTATATAAATCCTGTTCCCTCTCAATCTCCTGCCCCTTTTCTGTTCCTGAGCCCCTTCCAAAGCATGGACAGCCGATATGCCCCCATGCTTGCCTGCAAATCCAGCCCTAAGCAATTCCTCAGCATATCCAGAAATAGCGTATGTGGCTGTGGGGAACCTTCCTCCATCCTGCCTTGCTAGTGCACCTTTGCATGGTCCTGCACCTGCCGTGACCCTCTGGACAGTGCCTGTAGCATCCCTGCCAAGAGGGGAGCATCAGGGATGGGACGTTGCATGTAACTCCCAGTAACGCAGTGAGAATCCCATGCTGGGGATGGATAATATTGTTGTTGGGGTCTGCGTGGTGGTTTTGCCCTTTAGTTCACACATTGGAGCAGTTTTAGGTTCAGGGGTCTCTGGTTCAGCTCTGGCTGTAAGGAGCTAGCTGGAGGTAGTTAAACCTGAGGAGGAGGAGGGAGGGAGGGACAGATGCACGCTCAGACGTGCTGGGCTCCGCCAGGCAGACTTTCCAAGCCATCTGGGGCTTGCCTGTCTCCAGTTCAGGTCCCCGAGATTTATGGCTGGAGTGACTTTCTAATCACAGTTTTGCCATCTGCCTGTTGGCCTTTAGCAAACCCCTCTCACCTGTCACTGAGCCCTGCCTGCTCCTGCCTGCTCCTGCCTGCACCACCCGGCGAGGAGCACCCTTTCCTCCCCATTGCCCCTGCCACTCGTCTGAGGTGCAGCCCTTGTTCTTGCGGGTCTCTTCTCCCTCATCCTCCCGGGTGGGACAGTTTGATCTCCTGAACTACTCATCGGCACGGCTGAATCCGAATTCTGGTGTCCTGCACCAAACTCTGCTCCAGCCAATGTATCTTCCCACTAACCCACTTCGCTCTGCTGCTGCCTCCTGTCAACAGTGATTTCCCTGCATGTCCTGGCCTCACTCCTCCAGCAAAGCAGCTCGCTCCTCTTCCAGGTCTGCTCTTAACCTTGTTCCTCTCCAGCTCCAGAAAGGTGATGGCTCGGTGACAAGGAGAAGGGAAGAAAAAAAATCTGGCTGGGGACATTCGTAAAAGAAGGTTTCAACGGTGCAACCCAAGTCACACTAAGCACATGAGCTGAACTCAGTGCAGACACCCAAATGAATGTTGTGGTGGCACCAGCTGATGTTAAGCTGATGCATTTCTTCCTTGGCAGCTCTGAGCTGGAGCCTCCGCAGCTGAGCACGTGGCCGTCGCTGCTTCGGTTGCTGCTGGCGCTTTCCTTCCTGGCGGACTGTAAAAATTAGTAGGGTCTTATTTCTCTTCATGGTGAGCTGGCTGCTTCTGGCCCAGCTGCCCGCAGGCAGCAGTACTGTAGGCTGAGCACCACTCCGCTGTCTTTCCTCCGATGGCCTCAGCTGCCTTCAGCCAAAATGTGTTTCACTATGAAAGCATCTGCAGGAAGGTTCTGCTTTCCTAGAAATAACGATCATCGCGGAGAAGTGTTTTATTTTCTTCTGTCTTTTTTCCCAAAAAAGGATACCTTGAGAGGGGAAAGGGAAGGTTTCTGATTTTTTTTTTACCACAGTGCCATGAGCACGAAGGCAAAGGCTTTGCTTTAGGTGGGTGCTGCTACCGCCTGCTGCAGCAGCAGGCCCTCCTTGTTTGAGAGGTTTATATGGCCATGTGATTTCTCATGCATAGGAAGCCTGTCACTGGCCTGAGATAAGGTCATGACCAGCAACACATCTGTCTGTGTGCCAGGATATTTTTGAAGCTAAAAAAATTTACATTTTGAGGAGGGAAAGGAGAAAGCCTTTTATTGCTGTGTTGATTTTAAAATAAAGGCAGCTCTTTGAATTTGCTGCGGGATTTAAAATGTTCACCTAAGTCCCAGGGAGATGAATTAATGGCCAGAGAACAAGAGAAGCTATCAGAGTGGCATGATTACATGTATTTACCACATGGATGTCATTTCTCCAGGGGTGATCTGGGGGACAGAGAGACTGTACAATTGTAGAGCAAGAATTAGGTTATTTGAATCCCATTGGGTAGAAAGGAGAATTGCAGGCTGCGTTCCCCAGGAAAGCGTTTTAACTCTTCTGCAGGTGTTTTGCCTTTGCTATGTTCCATAAAGGCTCCAGCAGAAGGTGTGGTGGGAAGATGCCCTGCCTCCACTGCGCCGAAGGATGGCTGCTGGAGAGCTCGGCCCTGCTAGGGCTGTGGTTGAGGGTGCCCAAATGCTTTTCCAAGACCGTTGCAGATGCCTGCACCTGGAAAAAGTGCAAGGGCTGCCCTTCTCCTTGGTGCAGAGGTGCAGGGCATGTTCTCCTGATCTGCTCTACCTGTCCACCCTGGGGAAGATGGCTTACACCCTGGTGGTACAAGGTCTTCTCCACTCTCTGGAGAGGAAGCCTGGGCATGTAACTCCAGCGGAGGCAACACCAATGTCATCTAAAGATGAATCCCAGCCTCTTTAGTTTAGTTTGGAACTAACATGCCCTTGATGACACCTTTGGTAATTGGCTAATATTCATCGTTTTAAAACTTTGGCCTTTCACTTGATGCTTACTGGTTCTTGTGTTATGACAAATAATATCCCTGTTTCTTCCACCTGTGCCATTCATGAAGGCATTAGCGGTAGTCACCTCCAAGCTGTAGAACCTTTGTGCAGGAGTTGTTCCCTGTTGCTGCTCCTCCTCCTCTGTGCCATTGTAAGCTCTACCGTACCCCTTTTGAGATGTGAGACCAGGGCCAGACATGCAGCTCCGTGTGCAGGCATACCGATGATTTCTGTCTTGTTCTCCGTGCCCTTCCTGTTAAAGTTCTGTCCCAGCATTAGCTTTGCTTTGTTCGCCTGCTACCAAGTGGGTATTTTCACAGAACTATCCACAAAGGCTCCCAACATCCATCTCCCAACTCAGAATAGCTCATTTAGAGCCCATTATTGTGTGCGTGTGCATATATATTTGGAGTTAGTTTTGATTTATTTTTTTCCCCGGCATTACTTTGCATTTGTAGACATTGAATCTCAGCTGCCATTTTCTCTCTCAATTGCACGTTCACTTTGGAGTGCCAGGACACATTCGTGTTGTATAATGTATTACAATTGCACTCTGATGAGTTTTAATCTACTCTTTTGGCCTGCCTGTCCTTTCTTCCTCCCTCCAACAGAGCTGCAAGACGCTGCGCTTATTCTCCTCCCAGCGGCTTCCAAACCACAGATTGCTCAGATGCTCTGTTCATTTTGCAGCTTCTGCTGTGTCAGCAGCTGTGCTTTATGATTTAAGACGGCAGCAGAACTTTCCACTGAACTATAAACCTGTGTATTCAGTTTCCTGGTATCCACACAACCGGGAAGCTAATAGATGGCTGGGATAGTCCTGTGAGGAGAGGTCAGGACGTATTTAGATTGCAGGGAGACAATGAGGGTTGGTGCACAACTGAATTGAATGCTGTGGCCCCCAGGAAGAGACATGGCAGGGGGATGCTTTGAAGCTGGAGTCTACCTGCCTTGGGGAAATAGTTCTCCCCAGGCGGGAGAGCCTCTGGCAGGAGGTAATGCATCTTCGATGGGATTGCTGGTCCATAAATGCCAAGCCTGGTTGGGCCCTGGCTAGTGATATGGCACAGCACTTGTTCCACTGGGGAGCGTGCACCTCACAGCACAGAGATGCTGGAAGCAGCTGTATGATGAGTATGGAGCTGGGTGAGGAGCGGAGCTGTGGCTTAGGGAAGGCGAGTGTCACATCTCTGCGCTCAAAGAGAGGACCGCAAATATTTCTGCAGGTTTCTGCTA